ATAATCCTTCCATCACATTCTCCCCTTTCCTTCCACCCATACCTACTGACTAGCAGGAACTATGTACATTCTCCCCACCTTTAGCCCCTCACCAGTAAATACCATAACGTTTTCACCAGATGCAGCTTTAGTCCAAAGATATTCCTGGCCATTAAATCTCCTTAGGCTACCTCCCTTTAAATGATAACTCTCTTTTCCCAGCTACAAGCTGAGTGCACCTATCTTAAACTAAAAATGAAAGCTCCCTTAACATAATCACTTTTTCAAATTTCTTGCATCCAACAAGTATTTTCTTCAACCAAACAACTTTCTCCTTTCACCCCACAATTATCTCATATCCATAACTCTCTCCTTTCACACAAGACAAGAGTGATTAGGTAGCCTTTTGGCTAAAGCATTTGCTTGTCAAGCCAAAGACCTGGATTATGTACATTGTGCCAGTCACATCTTTATAGAGAGCGAAATAAGTGAAATTTGTGGTCTTCTGGGAAGGGGAGGGGTTAGGGGGCGGAAACAAACTAGGGACAAACAGGTGAGTGAGTGAGTGAGTGAGTGAGCAAGTGAGTGAACCCTGGTCTTTGGGGTGATGAGCATTTGCGTTTACCACTAGGCCACCACACCACCCATTCTTCCAGACGATCTGAACAACAAGATGATGTTCTGGATATAAGGGCATCCTCCATTGTCTTCAGTCTCATATTCAGTAACAATAGGTAAATGTATACAATATATCTTGCACAGTGCATCTAATTACAGAAACACTAAAACGTATGTTGCTTGGAAAACATGCCCCTCCCTTCCCTATACTTCCCTGCCCTCTGCAAATTAGTATCAGTCCATGACACGCTGCACATACATCATGTAACATCAGGAAATAATGTGAAATATACACACCACCATATACAATCAGCAATGAGCTGTAATTCCCTTCTTCCTTCCCATTGGCTAAAGTAACCTTCCTATTGCATTTATCCCATTGTCAACATATAAAACAGGCCGTGTTCATATCACATGCGATATGCGATACATAGCCATGCCATGCGATATATACAACACAAACTGTCAATGTCATGAAATATGATCATGAAGCCTTCATTGACATTGTGATTAAGCTGTTGTTTATTTCATCAGTGCGTGAAAGTAAATACCGTCCCAGCCATGTAGTTTACATTGCCTTACTTTTATATCCATATTGTTGATTATCAGACATAGGTAATATCCTAGGGAATGTACAGGAAACAGGTTTCTAGGTGATAAACAGGGATGGAAATAAGTACAAGCCTACTAGTCCAGACCAGTTTTGCTAATGTTCAAGGTATCCTAAAAGCGAGTATCTCTATATTATATCAGTATTCAGCCGAGAAGACCTCTTGGTTAATTACGATCCCTAAATATGTAATTTTCTGAATAAAATTGATATTTTATACTTATCCTGACTCATGAGGTAAGCAATAAGCATGAGTCATGATAAGGAAAAATATGTAATTTTCTGAATAAAATTGATATGTTATACTTATCCTGACTCATGCTTATTGCTGACCTCATGAGTCAGGATAAGGAAAAATAATAGAATTGATAAATAATGGAAGCAGAAAAAGAAAAGTTCACAAAACATCATATGCCAAACACCTGTCCAAAATGTCTGTCAAATGTATGACTATATTCTGCATATATGGGCAGGTGGGAAAACTCAATGCCTTTCTAACTAAGGTGCAAAAGGAACCGCCTAGATATAAATATCATTATAGTGACGTAGATGAAACTGTATAACAGGTTTGTAATTGACAAAAAAATCTTGTTACGTCATACGTTTATTCTTTTCAAAAAGCAATAAGATCTGAGTTGACAAACGTCCCTGCAATGACTGTCAATGTGCAACTGGTTCGTCACAAGCTAAGACACCTGTTGTATAAAAAAAGCTTGGAATTTCACAACTCATCAAGCTAGGGCACTATTCTGACACTTTGAGCAATAAATCTTGAAGGGTTTCAAGCAGGCAATTACAGCAAGATGATACAGAAACACCTGCACAAATGCTCCAAGAGATTTATGAAATATCACTCAAGAATTCGAACAGGGAGAGATTTATGAGTAAATCATCCAATCAAAGAAGACTGTTGGTGAATTTTCAGGTGGTCCGACCAACCGCTGAACAACCTATAAAATCTGTCCTACTCTTTCAAGGCCGGAAATACTGAACAATGGTACAAACAAACTCTTGACACTGAAGAAACCATGACATGAAAATGAAGGATAAAGAATTTTGGAGTCAACCTTTGAAAAGAGTTAGCGGTAACCATGTCATCAAATGAAAACTGCACAAAGTAGTTAAAGAACTTTGCACTCTGACTGGAGAGCAAGATAAATACCACATGGGACTGTGTGGACAGGATAATGGACAGATTTCTCTTTCCATTTATAAGGGTTTATTTAAAAGCTTAATAATGGCTGCCTGGAAGACATCTTTGCCTGGCTGAAACATGGCACATTATCTTCAGTGAGGGAGCTAGTATCACCCTGGTATTAAAGATTTCAATCTTGCTCAGTTGACCAAGAAATCAAATTTTCCTGTTAGTTGCGAATTAATGGTATATAGGATACTGACATCGAGCTGACCAGTCCTTGTTGCCGAGCACCAGCCAAGGAAACAATAACTACCATATTTAACTCCTTTTGCTATGATGTTTCAAAGGACTGAACCTCTTTCTGCTCACTGGGGTCTATTTCCAACAGTGAGTGAGTATTGTTTTATATAGCTTTTAGCAATATTCCAGCAACATCACAGCGATGGACACCAGAAACAGGCTTCACACATTGTACCCATGTGGGGAATCGAACCGGGCCTTTGGTGTGATGAGCAAATGCATTAACCACTAGGCTACCCCACTGCCCCAACAGACCACTGACATGGTCCTGGTAGCAGCCACTAACAGTGGCGTACACTAACTGATGCAGTGACATGCCCAGTTGTATCTGCAAAGCTTAAAAGGCTTCATTGTTGATACTGGAGCAGCTCAGCGTGACTCGACAAGCCATGCCGCTATTCACTGGCTTGCAAGGACGTACACATGGACTACACAAACACCATCATGCAGCCCTGTATTTACACATCCGATTGATACAAGACCGTCTGAATCACGCTGAATTGCACACAGATATTTAACTTGCTGGAGCATAGTGTATTCTTCCGGGTAGAACAACACGGGCAGGTGGCAGTTACATGTAGCGTATATTGTGGTTGTCAAATGTGTGAGTGAGTGAGTGAGTGAGTGGGAGGGTGGGTGAGTGAGTGGTGACAGGTGGGTGGGTGGGTGAGTGAGTGAGTGAGTGAGTGAGTGACAGGTGGGTGGGTGAGTGAGTGAGTGGTGTGGAGTGAGTGAGTGAGTGAGTGAGTGAGTGAGTGGAGTGAGTGGCAGGTGGGTGGGTGAGGTGAGTGAGTGAGTGAGTGAGTGAGTGAGTGAGTGAGTGAGTGAGTGAGTGTGAGTGAGTGAGTGAGTGAGTGAGTGAGTGAGTGAGTGAGTGAGTGAGTGTCACCATTTGTCCTGGGAAATAGTGAATCCAAAAGCTGGGGTATAATGACACATAACCATCTAGATCATATTATGCTGTCATTAATATTCAACAGTTGATGCATACAACATGGCAATAGGAACCTCTACTACCCTAGAATCAGTATGGGCAGATTGTAAATTACATAAGAACTAATCAGTTTTCCCAAATCATGATCGTACACACAAACAGTTAACAGTAGAATCACAACCTATTCATCTACGCTCTTAAGCAGTGTTACACCATGCTGCTCACTACTCCAGGCCTTCGCCCAGCTGATGAGCAGAGCCTACAGGTTCAGTTCTCCACAGGGAACATTATAGTAAGTCAATTGATGGCATGTGACTAGTCCAGTGAAATAGTGAATACATCTTGATTAGGCAGCAGGATCTGGGTGCAGTTGGCTTATGGATCAGCCTAATTACAGACACAAATGTAAACATACACTAGACTGCAGCTCATTTCGAACTTGTGGATCAAGGAACTTGATTCTGGAGGGAAACAACGAGTCCCTCTTGACAGTGGCTAATGGATGAGGGGCGTATTTATCCCTGTTAAGTGATTATATTTATACAAAACCGTAGCTATAATCCTGCTTATTGGGTCTTAAGCGTTAATATTTATATGCAACTGTGGCTATGACCCTGCTTGTTTAGTGTCAACATATATACGAAACTGTGGCTATAACCCTGCTTGTTTAGTGTCAACATATATACGAAACTGTGGCTATGACCCTGCTTGTTTAGTGTCAACATATATACAAAACTGTGGCTATAACCCTGCTTGTTTAGTGTCAACATATATACGAAACTGTGGCTATGACCCTGCTTGTTTAGTGTCAACATATATACGAAACTGTGGCTATAACCCTGCTTGTTTAGTGTCAACATATATACGAAACTGTGGCTATAACCCTGCTTGTTTAGTGTCAACATATATACGAAACTGTGGCTATAACCCTGCTTGTTTAGTGTCAACATATATACGAAACTGTGGCTATAACCCTGCTTGTTTAGTGTCAACATATATACGAAACTGTGGCTATAACCCTGCTTGTTTAGTGTCAACATATATACGAAACTGTGGCTATAACCCTGCTTGTTTAGTGTCAACATATATACGAAACTGTGGCTATAACCCTGCTTGTTTAGTGTCAACATATATACGAAACTGTGGCTATAACCCTGCTTGTTTAGTGTCAACATATATACGAAACTGTGGTTATAATACTGCTCATTAGCATTCGTGCCAGGGCAAGCTCTGCCTGTGTGGGTTAAAGGACACACACATGGCTATACAAGGAGGGCAATACACATGGTCAGTCGAGATTAGTTACTGTAGTCTATAGTTTAACAGTATAGCCATGGCTGCAAAATCTCAACTGGAACAAGCTGCAGATAAGAACCTACTTGGAACAAAGAAAAATGGTCCTCTTAATATAGGACACTTACCTCGCCAAAAGCACCTCTGCCGATAACCTTGAGGGGTTCAAAGTCATCCACACCAAGGCGAGATCGCTTGAGTCGAAGAAACTCGGTTTCTTTGGTGGCATGTTGTTGTCGTCGCTCCGATTTCTGCGAAAACAAGAATACTTAATAGTTTTCAACTTCTCTCCAGACATTTCTATTTGATTCTGATTAAAAAGTATTTACAATGCCATGTACCCAAGGGGGTGGGGTAGCCTAGTGGTTAAAGCGTTTGCTCATCATGCCAACGACATTGGTTCGATTCCCCACACAGGTACAATATGTGTGAAGACCATTTCTGGTGTCCCTGATAAGATAAGTTAGGAGATTTATTGCATAGGATTCCATAAAAGCAACAGATATTGCTTAAAGCGGCGTAAAACAAAACACACTCACTCAACCAAATACCAAATGTTTATTTTTACATTTTCAATATAATCTGTGTAAAGTTCCTAACACTCTTTTACGCTTGTTTACATTTGAACTGATTGTGAACAGTTTTCTATGTACCAATATACGGTGTTTTATGGTGCCAGATATGTTACATTTTCTACTCTTGTACCCTGTCCTATGACTGACTGACTGACTGAGTTTGGTTTTACGCCGCTTTTAGCAATATTCCAGCAACATCACGGCAGGGGACACCAGAAATGGGCTTCACACGTTGTACCCATTTAGGGATTCGAACCCAGGTCTTCAGCGTGACGAGCCAACGCTTTAACCACTAGACTACCCCACTGTCCTATGAGGACCTTCAATACACTAAAACTTCCAAGTTAGAATTCATACATAGAACATTATCTAAAACATTACACAAATTCACGTTTACACAAAAGAGAAGTTTAGGAAGCTTGTAAGCATTGGCATATGAAAATATATCGAACATAAAATTGGCCGTTTTGAAACAAAGAGCCAGCAGCACTTTTCTTCAGTTGTAGTGGTTGTAAATTCAATAAGCACATGCAAGACAGCAACACGTTTCTTTGTTAGCATGTGTTTGTTATATAAACAAGCTTTTTCAGACCATTTCACTTCAGAGGAGGTATGAAACAAAGAAGTATTCATTGAAATCAATATTTCATTTTAGTGCTCAACTACCAGTCTACAAGTTCTTTGTCCAGCTGTGCATCAGTTATTAAAATGTTCAGCCATTCTCACAAACCACTCAGATAAATTCTATACAAGCCTTTAGGCACCATATGCAAGGGAACCCTCTTCCTGTAACACCTACCTAACGATGATGTACATTAACATTTGTGTAGTCATAGGTTCTGACGAAACAGCTTGCGAGTGGATGATATTTATCAATTATGTCATCAAAAGTCTAGACTGACCAATCAATTTCAGCAAACACATTTCAGCTGAATCATAGCAGTAAAGTTTAGTTTGTTTTATTCTTCAATACAACAATTACGGTGACCGTATTTCTCTCAGCGTGCAGGCCTCGAAGGATCCTGAGGGAAATGGAAACTATTGACAAGTTGATTTAGGCTTGAAATCTATGACCACCACGAGAAGCAAGTCATAGTCCGAAGATTCATATTTACCTAACCTGTTTTCCAACATTGGATTTGTCAGTCAATCCATTTCTGTTTACTTCCCTTAATTTGAGGCCTGTTTTGGGCTTAGCTAACGAGTACCATTCTTCCTTCTGTACAGCGCAGCACACCATAGCACACTGCACAACCATCTATGGCAAAAGGATTATGTGCAATAAAAAACCTTCATCGTATGCCTTCAGTGAATTCAGCTAAATGAAAAAGGGATAATAAACTTGGTCATTTAATTTAAAACATGAGATAACATCATGACTACAATTCTGAAACAACCGAGTCCTGTGAGTCAGGCCGTAACCAATTAGCTGTTCCTATTCCTACTAAAGCATAGTCAGGTACATGTATTACTATTTAACATGCACCTAAATGTGTGGTCAACCTAACGAGACACTCAATCATAGAACCAAGGTGGCTCTCTAACTTGAATTATACCATTATAACCAGGCTTCGAAACATTGTTTGGATCAATTTACACCATTTTGGTTCAACAATGTCTGCTATTTAGGCTTTTCAAACTCCATTGAGATCACAAAAATACTCTGTCCTCGGAGTTAAATGAGGTATTTCAGGTGGTTAAGGAGCTGATGGATTTATTCTTGTCGTGTCGTCTTGCCATTCCTCTGCTAATGTCCTGTCTAATTGCACACAAGCCAATCTTTGCTGGTCCAGGACAGTTTCCCCAAAAGACGTTAATTACAAATGTTTACATAAGGAAATCCACCACAGTTTTCGGGAACAAAGCCATGTGTCACCAATGAGGATGGGTTGTAAGACCAGCGTATATGTTAGAATATTTCACAAGTTAATGAATAAAGGAAAAGGTGTCAACATCACGAGCTATATCCAACTGGTGGCAGATGTAAGGGATGTGAATCGCAGTGCCTTAGACAGCCACAACACCCATGTCCTTTCACCTTTTTATGAAGTCACATGTCTATGTAATGGCAAACACAAGACATTTTTCCTACCAGATATTCCACACGCCTTTGTAAACCTGAACACAAGAGGTCAGATATAAGGCTGTTTACAAAATCTACCCTACACAAAATAGACTACCGGTACATAAGGATAAAAATATCTATACTTGCGACACAGGTCTATTGTTATCACTTTTATCACACTAGTCTCCCTGGTTTCAGATTATCAGATTGCGTAGCTCAGTGACGGGGTCAAAGTAGACATCAAGTTGAAAGTAAACCTGTGCTCAAACAGTCGTAACGGACATAGATGAGATTAAAATACACTTCAACTGCTATCATTTCAGAATTGTAGTGTGTTTCTTGTCCAAGGGCCCGTTCCACAATCCAGTGAGTGAGTTTAGTTTTACGCCGCTTTTGGCAATATTCCAGCAATATCACGGCGGGGGACACCAGAAATGAGCTTCACACATTGTGCCCCTCTGGGGACTCGAACCTGGTTCTTCAGCGTGACAAGCAAACACTAGCCTACCCCACCGCCCCTCCACAATCCAGGATCAGCTATCGAAGAGCATGGGAGTGAGAACACTTGAGTGCTAAGACAGATTTGTGGAACCGGCCAAGGGCAATAACATGGTGTGCGCATTACATATTCACTAATACCAGAGCCACAATACAGGACGGAGCCCCTCTGTCAGTAGATACGCTGCAATACTGATAACCCTGAGAACCCTATCAGTAAACGTAATTGTTTAGTGAACCCTTTGTCAACATGATCGAACAGAGCCCTCGCTATTAATACACACGCAAAGAAGACTTGCTCCATGACATTGGACATGCCGTAAATTAGAAGGTGGTAAAAGTACCTCAACAAGCAGGATGATGTCAACTTGTTTCCAAGTGGACTTTAGGTGTATGAATTTATTTGTTCTTTTTTTTCTGCACTTGACAAAGAAAATGAGAGAAGAATCCTCGCAAATGACATTTGAAGAATGGTTTGAAACTTGAAATTGTATTTAAATTTATGTCAAATGTTACACTGAAACATGCCATAGAATCACCAACATGCAGACTGTGCCAAATAATTGGAAATGAGTGAGTTTGATATGTAAGAGCGTTACATATGATTTGATAAAAAAAAGTTATATTTTGAAATTATTTAGATAAGTTTTCAAAAGGCTTTAATTATGGTATACCTGACACTTTACGTCAATTGCAAGAGACAATATCTGAGGGTCTTTTTAATTTTACTCGACAGAATTATAAAACTGTCAACAGTTTTTGTTTTCAAGCCTCAAACTTTTGTAGTCAGTGTATTTGTAAACCAAAAATAAAGTCTTGTCTTAAGCTGTGTCTCATAGTTGAAATCAAATGCTCAAAAGGTACAGACCACCTCAATTAGCAGCGTGGCTTCAATCTCTTAACCTACAAAGCAAAATGAGTTTCACACTTCGAAAATTATCGTTTACAGTGATGTGGTCGCCCAATTTTGAGCACACAAGCAAGAAGTGGTTGTTTACCCTGCTGCCTGGCCTTGTAAACACAGCTTGAGTTGTGTACTCTGCAGATTACCCCCTCAAACACAGTGTTAGAGGTGACCAACGAACATACACAAAGTAACACTGGGATGTATTGGGTAACTCTGTACAGGGATTCTCATGACTTAAGGCAGGGGGAATGTGTAAGTGAGTTGGGTTTTAGGCCACTTTTAGCATTGTACCAAGTAAAGGAAGGCAGGGGCTCCAGGAATAGGCCCATTGTACCCATGTAGGGAAATCTGACTGGGGCTTTCAGTGTGCCAAGTGAATGCTTTACCACAAGGCTACCCCATCACCCCTTCGAGATAACAAATAATAGAGTGCTACCAAAAGGTCTGCAACTGTCCTAATCAACCAAGAAACATCTGAGCAACTTTATCCTGTAAATTTCCTTCAAACTCTATCATTCTGGCATTCCCATGAGGATCAGTCAAGGGCCACCTTGGACCTACTGCTCCTGACATTTACAGGCATGTGGCTGTACAGGGTCAATTTTGACTCTTAGTGTCCATTGTTCATCACTAATGAGACACTTCAGCAACACAACAGGGATCATCTGGACATTCTCTGAGGCTGATGTTCAACCACAAGTCCACAGCAACAGTCTGTAATTCCCAAATTAGAAAGCAAATTTCACCATTTAGGCAATCACAGTTCAAGCATTTGCTTCAGGTTTTTTTATAAAATGACTTATTTCATAGAGAGTGAGTTCAGTTTTACGCCACACTCAGCAATAGTCCAGCTATATGGCGGTGCTTTGTAAATAATCGAGTCTGGACCAGACAATCCAGTGATCAACAACATCAGCATCGACCTGCGCAATTGGGAACCGATGACATGTGCCAACCAAGTCAGCAAGCCTGACCACCCGATCCCTTTAGTCACCTCTTACGACAAGCATGGCTTACTGAAGGTTCATTCTAACCCGGACCTTCACGGGTCGACTTATTTCATAGATAACATGACTGTAAAAGTGGAGGATTTTGACAATCGGTTTAGTATCACACTACACAGATTGAAGCAACAAGTGACACCATTTTTCCCAATTTCAACACCATGGGCTCGAAAATCCTTGTACAAAGAATCTACAACTATAA